ATGATCATCGCGACGATGAGAGCGATGTTTTGGGAGATGGTCATGGCCCAGCGGCCGTGGTCACTGAAGGTGACGTGTCTGAGCCGGAGATCTCAGGAACAGAGCCGGACGATGAGCCGGAGGATGCTGGTGTAACGGTGTCGGAGGAAAGGGTGGAGACATGCAGGACTGGGGAGACGGCTTGCGCGCCACCATCGCGTGAGGAAAAGGTTGACCTTCGCCTCCAGCGAATGGCGCAGCTTAAGGCAGAGATGGACCAGCTCATGGCCGCCTCCATCAGGAATTTCCAGTTGCTTGTGCGTAGCCCTGTTGAAAAGTGTACAGCATAACAGTCATGGCCACATACCTTCAGGAGTGATGATCCAGCCCCTGCAGTCGATTCCCGTTGCAAGTCTTCCAGCCGGGGAGCTACGACAGGTCTTGATTGATTGGTCACGGTTCAATTGTACAGGGGGATTCTATCTGAGTTCTATAGCCCTATATAGCTGCCCTATAACTTGAAAGTTGAGAAATCGGCTTTCTAGGTCGTGGAGTGTTGGATACGGATGACACGCTGGTGATGGTTCATGAAGACTCTCAGGTTCCATACTCGGACGTTACAGTCCCAGCATCCCCACCAAGTGGCAGCCTGCCCGTGAAGCGGCAGCTTTTTCAGGATGATGAGCCAGTGGACCTGTGCATGCCAGCTCCTAAGAGGATGGTGGCACGCCCCCTGGCAAAGCTCAAGCACATGTTGGCCGAGTCGGCGGAGGCCATGAGAGCTTCCCGCCCGAGCTCATCAGCTGGGAAAAGCCGCAGCTGCACAGACTCCTCGGACAGCTCCAGAGGCCCTAGCAACAGCCCGTCCATTGGTTCCATTGATGAGGGCAACCCAGGCTTCATCACACGCCGTGAGCAGCTGAAGCTGCAGCCAAAGGCAAGGGCCAAGGTGAGGGCTGGAGACCGTGCGCCTGCCACGGGAAAGCCCAAGAGCAAGGCCAAGGACAAGGTGTTGGAGGATGCAGAGCCCGAGCCCAAGGAGTTGGCGAAGGATGATGTGGCGGAGGCGACTGCCAAACCGAAAAGGCTGTCGAAGAAGCGCAAGTGCGCCACTGAGGCGGCCACAGAGCCAATGCCAAAGGCGGCAAAGGCAGCACTTGAGGGAGATCACGCTGTTGCAGAGGATGCATGCCCGGCCGGGCGAGCCCGCCGCAAAACCTTGCACTCCAAGCCCGTGAAGAACATGACTGTCAATGACATCATGCCGCTCTTGATTGAGGATGACCTGAAGATGCGCATTGTCATTGACTTCGTGAAAGCCATGGATAAGCCTGCCATTGACAAGAGGGAAGAGCTCCCCGACTACAAGTACTGGCAGCTCTCAACGTATTGGACAAGGCCAAGTGTTGGAGTTATCAGGAAGGTCGGGGACGAGCGCCCGGTCTATGTGGGCACCCTTACCAGTGGTGGCTGGCCGACGGTGAATGTTGCCGTGTCAGCCGTGGATCATTTCGCAACTGGACCATTTCAAGTTATGATAGGCTTTATATATACAGAGTTCTGTGTTCTCCACATTTGTTTTGGGCCGCTACATACGAAAACAAAACATGGCTCTTTCGGAAGCTTGAAAAGCTAGAGTTATACGGTTGGGGTAGAGGGATGTGTAGTGTAGTACGCAGGTGACATGGATGGGAGGTGATGCGGCCCAGACCCGTTATGAGCTGAACTCGCCCGACTGCGACCGCTTCAAGCAAATGCTTAATGATTGTGCAAAGTACGCAGTGATTTGCAAGCGCCATATGGAAGAGACGGGCCTTCAGTTTGAAGATTTGTGAGCAGCGGCTGCACCGACAGCTGCTCAGCGGCTGCACAGACAGCTGCTGAAGTCATTTACCTTGATCTGGGCTGGTCGAGCTTAGGTAGGGCGCCGGAGGTTTTGATTCACAAGGGGTTGAATAACGCAGGCGTACAGAGGTTGCGCGTGACTCATACGTGTCAGTAATCATACAACCTTGAGGTCGGGCAAGGAATCACGATCCAAGCAGTGTCCAACAAGAATTGTGTTGATGATCTTTCGTTATTAGGGTTCTTAGGATCGGGGTCTTTAGTCTTTATAGGGGTGACTGATGCCGAAACAACTTACCCGCGTATGGACTATCTGCCCGTACCTATGTATATATAGGGCCCATATAGAGACACTGTATATATAACCCCCAAAGCCCCATGCGTATGTCCAGATGAACTTTAGGCGCACGCGTGGCTGAAGGCCCCTCTGTGTGTCTTTCAGCGGAATTAGAGAGGTTCCACGTCCACATTTATTTCACTGATCTAGCTAACTCGAGAACATTTCGCCATTAAAAAAGTCACCTGTCGGTCTTTAAGTTCCCCCAAACAAGATTGGATAGACATTGTTTGTATAGAACCCCAAACATGTTGCAACAAATGGTTCAAGGGTTTCACACATATATGATTAAGACCATCGGAAATATTCTGGTAACCACAACCGGGTATCGTATCTGAAGGCCCCTCATTGCCGGAGCCAGCCTGGTATTTTCAGTGTGTGATACTTGAGCAAAGGTATCCATAGGTTGCATAGGCTGCGCAACACGTGGTGGGTATTTTGCGCATACGGTTTTGCAGCACGAAGTGTTGCTGTGAGTATGTCATTTTGGGTCTCACGTGCTACAGCCTCCAACAGGGAGCCTCTTGCTTGCCGTTCTGGGAATCATGCAAACCTGTTCAGCCCGCGCAAAACCAAGGGGGCAAGGATCTTATATTTGGAAGCAATTGAAAGCCTTCCGTTTCTTTATGCCTTTGTTCCTCGTACATGGCTTATAATAAGGTACTTCTGAAGAGGTCTCATAAATATCATTGTGTACACACAGACTAGTATACTGACTATATATAATTCACATTCTCCCAAAAGTCCCTGGTACAGTCTTCAACAGGATCCCTCAAGCATGAATTGGCCGTAAGACCTTCTATTCAGCAACTTTATTTGAATCTCAACGTGTCAACATGTCCTGCAACAGTAAGTCCGAACCTCTTCCGAACCAAATCAAGTGATTTGATTATCTTCTTAAATTGCCTTCATTGCGGTAACCTAGCTGGAGGGGGGGGGATTGATTCTTTCATAAAATAGCTCAAGTATGTCCGCATAGAGGCCGTGTAAGGTTTCTAGACATTATATAGGTGCTTGAAAGTGGCACTGTCTACCTTGCTCATGCGTAGCGCAACACACGTGATCAAAGTAATCTTGCACACCTCAACTGAATTCATTCTCGTAGCAAGCCCCTGCAGTACGAGACACATCCCGCTGATAGTCTACACAGGCGAGGGACGTTGTTGTCCCCTTGTATGTTCCTGGGTGTATTCAGACTACATGGGGCTTGAGGGGCCGAGCAGCTATTGCAGGCACTACATGGGGGCTCTGTACTTTTGTTATGAACTTTTCGAAGTCATTTAGTTGGAAGGTTAGCAACGGAGAGAACCAGGAAATATCACCCCACCACAGCAAAACGGATCAAACTTATTGTACAATTGGTTTCCTTTGTTCCCTGCAAGTTAGAACGAAAGATGCCCGAGCATTGACGTAACTTCCCTCACTCTCGAAAGGCTGAGAACATGCATGTGCGCTTTACCAAAAGTCTGAGCCTTCGTTACTTGTAATGGGAATACGTGATCAACCTGGTGACTTCTAATTCCTTGGCTCCGCAATGACCGATACATCCACCAAGACCCTTCTGCTGCATCATGTCGGCCGAGGCCCGGATGAAGCGCCGTGTATGGTTCCTGAAGCATGTGGAGCAGCAGAGGCAGGAAAAGGCTGCCAGAACTGGCAACCCTTGCATGTTTAAAAGCCGCTCTTTTGTCAAAGACAGGCAGGTAAATGCATCATCAGCTGCCCTGTGTTGCAGACTTCAGCTTGGGTTCTTCTGAGCCTTTTTGGCTGGGATCGAATCTCTTAGGGCCACATTGCCTCATGTCGTACGGAATGTAAGTCGGAATGACTTGTGTATAGATTTACTTTCTTATTACAGGGATCATGCAGAGATCAAGACCTGACATTGAATCATCACGACCCGTCCTTTGGCCCATCATGTTGCCGGCAATTTTGTGGCGACTCCAGGAGATTGGAGCCCCGAAGGCATGCCTGGGATCATGTGAATTTAATTGTGGCCGCCTACATTCATGATTTCAACGGGGTGAGCTGGATCCATGCCTATATTTCCGTTTTAAGTACCTATCGATTTATGGTTCTATACCTACTAATAAACATTACACTGTATAGTGCTTGGAGGGGTCTACTCATTACTGTCCGGTGGATTGGAACGAGAGTTTCGTTTGTCTTCTTGCACCAACCTTTTTATGAGATCCCAATTTGTATGAATACCACTGAAAGCTTGAGCTAGCCCTATATATGTATAGATACACCACCCTGTAGCAGCCCGCGAGCTGCTCAGCAATAGGTAGAGCGGGGAGACAAGTAGGGAACCAAAACCCAGATTGGTGCAATCTTAGCGAGGGTTGTAAAGTTGGGTCTCTAGCCGCGTTTCTCTAGCAGATGTTTGTTGGGCCCCATGCAATGTACATCATGCAATCTCTATATTGAGCAGCTCGATTCGAAACTCTGCATGGGCAACATGGGGTCCGAACTATACAGCCCTCGCTCAACTCAACTCTGCAGGTGCTCATGCTGGCAGTGCTGTTCCTCGTTTGGAGTGACAACATCCACTGCTTCCAGCAGGCCCATCAGTGTCACGAGCATTGCTCATTTTTTCTCACGTATCGTTTGTACTTTGAACTGCTTTGTGCTAACCCTGTTGGAGCTCAATTTCCCGCTGTAGTGGAGCAAGCTGGTTTCTTGCCAGACCTACACACTGCTGGAGTACTTTGCGGGGCTCGGCAATGTCAGCAGATGCTCCAGACTAGCCGGCCATCCTACGGCCAGCCTGGACGTTTTGTATCATAGTGCACCTCCTGGCAAACAGAATTTCATGGACATTCTGACTAGTGCTGGGATGGCGTGTCTCGATCTCTTTGGGTTAATTTTTTGGCCTCAACACGGGGACTCTTCGGGAAATGGTGCCAAGATTTGTCACTTCTTGCAACATATAGGGCCCCACAATTACATATCCATCTTAAACGCGTGCCCCTTAAAAGTCGTGCGGGGTTGCATGTAAATCGTAGTGGCGACTATCGTCTGCAGATAGCTACTTCAAATTCACCAGGGCTCATAAGGCATCCGGTATTCATAGATGTGTTTCTGAGTCTATTAATTATAAGGGTCAGAGGAAGCAACGTCCTGTTTCAGTTGGGATTGACCAGGGTTTTCGCCTACTTGTTAACTTGGTGCAATGTAGCAGCTTTCGTGAAGGGGCTGATGAAGTTCTCCAAGGCTTCGCAGTTTTCATCAAAACCCAACAATTCAAAGGCCGCTTTTCCCTAATCATTAATATATGAACCCACTTAAGCCTGTGTAATCAGAACTGCATATCCTTGCCATGGGTTGGGCCTTGCAGTTTCTCACCCAAAACTGAGACCCCTAGCATCCTGCCTGAGCCCCATCAACCCGAATGAGTTCTACTTCGTCAGGGAAGCGCAGAGCTCGTGCGTGCTATACAATATATGGGCCAGTAAATCTTTCCGACTACAATCCCTATATTATAGTCAGGTTGACTACATGTATATAGAGGGCAGGTAGACATTTGCACGAGCTCTGCGCTCCTGCGTGTACGGTGTTTTATCTATGCTCTTACGGCAAAGAGTTTTTCCAAAGCTCGTCGAAAGGTCCGTTTGTGTATACACATGTATCATATCCTTTATAACACAACAAGAACTCAAACCTGACACCCGAGAATGTACAAGGCTTCAATCCACCCTTCAAACTTTCCCTTCACAACCTTTCAAAACCCTTATAGTTGGTGCTGCCTGAGAGGGAGCCCCTGTAGACCTGACCTTGTACGTACCCCTAAGTCTGAATCCCTATATAAGCCCTTGAATTATATATATATATAGCCCCTACATATGTATGCATACACTCTTTCGAAACACTACATATAAACCCTGTGAACATTTGTATGCCTTATTTAAAACTATACATATATGTATTCAAAACCTAACCAATCCCAGAAAGATCCATCACTAGCAGTTGCCGAGGTTAGCAATGGCGACAATGCTGAATGGGCGACCAGATGCCCTGGTATTTCTGGGGATGAAGTGTTCGAGTTTTTCGGCAGTCAACCGGGGAACTTCTGGGAGGAGTATTATATGTGGGCTCGGCAACATGGCCTACAAGTCTGTACAAGAAGCAAATTTAATGTTGTCACGGACACTAGACAGCAAGGTAACTTTTTTGGGCTTGGTCAGGGGGGAGCTTGGGATATGAGGTAGTCTTCACGGGATGCTTGTACTGAAGGTCTTCTATGTGTATGTATATATAATCTCAATACTTGCATTATGCTACGCTAACCTGTGAAAGGGGTTCCAATGTGCATTACAATTATCACTGCCATTCTGGTCTTCAACGCAGGACAATTCTCCTCATCTACCTAGCAGAATCCATGGGGCTGGTTTGGGTGCTAGAGCAGCCAAACAACTCGGCTGCCGAATTTCATCATAGATTCCGACCGCTACGCCACATGCTGCAGGACCGGCTGCCTAGGAGTAAACCTTTTGTGGGTAAACAAACATAAGTTGTATACAGGTAGCCGTATAGCATATTCACCCCCAATCCTATGGATGCTACCTGCTAGATTTCCAGGTTTGGGTCGCGAAATTCTGGATGGGGAACTATCATTCTCGAACACCTAAGCGGCATATTCTTTATGCCAACACGCCCGGCATCAACTGCTTTGATCTTGGGACATTGACTCGGCGGGCCAGCATGGACTCTGCCCCGAAGACGTGTGTGCAGTACCGAGACAGAGCTGGAAAGCCACGATACAAAGGCACCATACATTTAAAAAAGACTGAGACCTTCGCCTCATTCAGTTGTTGTCCACCAGGTTAGGGTATTTACTTCTACGTAGAATATTTTCATTGATGGGATGTGCGTAGATCGTCTGGGTGGTCACGATGATGATGATGATGGTGGTATGATCATGATGATATGATGTTGATGATATGACGATGGTTCTGATATAGTTCTGATGATGATGATTATGATAATATGACTCCGATGAGTTCCCAAATTGTGTGTAGCAGGAAAACCGATTGGTTGAAGACCTATATATGAGTTGAGTTATGTACATTGCCTATGTTTCCCATGAATTAACCAGGGACGAGGAAGGGCTCGGCATTGCAGGTGAACACACGCACAAACACTATCAACAGCCTCAGCAATCAGTACAAAAACGACATCGCAGGCATCTCAAGGTCTGACCTCATATCCTGCCCAGCAACATTGAAAGCGTAGCGTAAGATCAAAGCAGCACTTTTGGAGACTTTATGAAGGTTGCTGCTATGATCAGCATGGGTCCTCCTGAATTATTAGAAGGAACGCGCGTTGGCAGGCCAACGGGCAATCTTGTCACGGTAGCATACTACTCGCAAGTGCGAATTAGCAGGAACATCTGATCCACCAGCCCTCTAGCAGCGAAAAAAAACATGTTGAGGCGATTTGAAGGGCATGCTGAGCCAAGTTGATTTTGCGCCGTTTTTGCGCAAATTTTTGCGCATTTTAGCGGGTAATTTGCACTTTTTTGTGTTTTTTTTGCGGGTAAGCTTCCTTTTGCGGGTCATTTGCGCGTTTTTTGCGGGTAATTTGCGCCTTTTCTAAAATCTCAACAAAAATTTACAAAACCCAACATAAATTATGTTGGAATCCTAAGCCCGAAACAAAAATAGGGGAAACAGGCTACGGGGCTTCTAGATCAATTTAAGATTTACTTGAAAAAGCTGTATGAGACCAGGGAACCCTGTTACAGATGAGTACCTAGAGGGTGGTAGGAATCAGGTGTCTCCAGGACGCCGGAATCTGCAGGGCTCGGTTCCCTTTCAAATATTGCAACACTTCCGGCATGGCTGCATCTCCCCACAAGTCTGAGAAGCTTGCTGCCTCAAAAACTGACTGTGCATCCACATTCATTGGCACGGGCACTGGCTCAGGCTTTGTTTGGTTCAGATGGCGGCGCATTCGCAGCACCCGGAGGCCAAATCTGATGGGATAGTTCCTGGGACAAGAGATATATAGGGGGAAACAGGGTGGGCCTCCGGCCCTACTCCTGCCTCTGCCAGACCTGTCAGGAACCCTGTAGCCTTGCCTTCCCGGAAATGGAGTTGTTCGGAGGTAGAACAAGGTCAGAACAAACTTTTGGCAGTGAAGCTGGAGAGAATGGACACGGCTACTGATGTGCAAGCTCGCCTAGAGGCTGGGTGACTCTTATTGTGAATGTGACGGTTTTAGGGGGTTGAATCTCAGAAATCTAGATTGCGCACCTCAATAGCCTTCCGACTTTCCTTACTGTCTCCCATCAGGCACTCAGACAGGAGTATGATCAGCTCGAAGCTGACTTGGCTAAAGACGCTGAGCCTGCTGATGACGTATCTTGCACTGCAAATGTTGAGGTAGTGTTTCAATCAATTGTATACCCTTGTATGCGCGTGCCTTCCCTACGCATGCTCAATTAAGGAAGACACTTTCGTGGACACCGTCCCAGTGCCACAATTGCGATTCAGGAGCTCCTGACTTACCCAATACACCCCTCAAAGTTCAAACACATAAGGCAGACCCATTTCTATCAAGTGCATGAAGCCCCTGTACATTGAGAAGCCTCCAAATCATTCAGCCCAGGCATCGAATACGCAGTTGAAGAAGTTGGGCCGGACGATGTCGCAAGACTCGATTGCGGCGCCTACAAAGAGGGTCGCTCCACTGCAGATGACTGTTTGTTCGCAGTCTATACACAAAGCCCATTATAACTGTTGCCTTTCTAGAGAGACAGCATGTTCATTCATAAGGTGGGGAACAGCAAGCCCATGCAAGAACTCTTCAGAGCATGTCATTAAACAAATTTACGTAATGTTGACCTAAGTTTGCTGGCTAGGTGATGCATGAACCCAATCAAAAGCAGGGCCATAGTCTATCGGAGTACACTGCAGACAGGTGTAGTCGCATGACTTATAGGGCGCTGCGCAGGCGAAGACAGAAGCAAGTGCTCCTGTTGCTACCCCTTGCCGTGCCCCGCCCAAGCCCAGCTCCGCGCCGAGCTCTGCTCATCCGAGCCCCGCTCATCCAAGCCCCGCCCCTGGCCGAGCCACCCCATCCTCAGCCCCGACTGATTCTCCATACTTCCTGGCAACCACGCTTATGAGCCCGCCTGCCACAGGTCTTCCAAGCTCAATGTGCCCGCCGACTGCAAAGAGCAACCCCCCAACCCCGGCGAGTACCCTAGCCAAGTCCCTCAGCTCCAGCTCTGATCAGCTTCACAGTGGGTCTGAGGAAGAGGATCGAGTTTGAAATAATGCAAACACAAACCGGAATTCTTAATTATTATGTTTTACTTGCTTTTGCTTGGCAGGGGGAGCTGACCGATACAGCGAAGTACCACCGGCTGCGCAGGCTTTGCGAGAAGAAGAGATCAGGTAAACTACTTGTGCCAGAACAGGTAGTGGCTGATTACAAAGCTGGTGGTGCAGCCCGCCAGAAGCTTATGGACCAGCTTGGTAAATGTGGATGCTCCAAGGAGCTCTGATTTTCAAGTCGGTAGCAAGCATTGCTGTTTCTGTAGCCCATGTCTCACCTACGTATACATAAACCCACTTGCCAGGAACGGTTCATAGCTGTTGTGAATCGCCAGCACACGAAGTTGAGAGAGAATGAGAAGAAGCAGCGCTATGCTTGGCACACGGAGAAGTCAATGGCTACGGAGCTCAAGTGGAGTAAGCCCCTTCCTAAGCAATTACAGCTATGCACAGGGGGCTTGAGCTACCACATGACTATCTTCATGTTCGGCTGAATCCGCCCTTTACCCCTGAAACCTAGAGTAACCTTTTGGCGTGCACAGGTCCTATATCCAGCTTGCCATTGCAGACTGCCGCCAGAATGGCATGGTGAAGCAGCGTGGCGTACAAAGCCTGAGATTTTTCAAGGAAGCGCTCTGAGATTTCCAAAACCATATACAAGCTACACATTCCCGATTTGAGCCCTCTTCTGACTAGGTGTGTGTATCTTGACAAGAATATAGGTGTTATACGCCGCGCATCTTATGACTACTCAGGCTCGACCGTTATGACCGGCGCTTGGAGAAATTCTACGTGGAAATTGAGGATGGCGGCCATGTGCTGAATCGCGAGCAGGATATGGAGAGCAGGGACCAGTCAGAGGCTGCCACTTACATTCATTATAGGTACTTGTTTCACACAGCTTTGATGACAGGAGTTGATTGCGTGGTATTCGAACAATGCTACATAAAGAGGCAGCTATAAGAAGGACGCAAAATGAGGCCCATCAGCCTTCTCTATTGCGCGATGTCAAGTCTTTCACTTCCTGTATATATAACTTCCAATGATGATGCCCCTTTCTGCGCGTCAAAGGGTTTGGGGAGGTTTGTTTGTGTGGAGCGGCATGTCTGCTCTTATGGGAGGTCCCGGTTTGGAGGACTCGAGGGAATTGCTTTTCCAAGCATCAAACGGGCTTTGGGGAGGTTTGTATAAAGGGTCTGACACCCCAAACCTCCCAAAAATGAAGCCAAACGAAGGATCCACCCGATTGGATTCATTTTAAGGAGGTTTGGGGGGTCTCGGAAGGTGGTTTGGGGGGTGTTTCGGCTGGCTTGGGCGAGGGAATCTGGGGTAGTCTTGGGGGTCTTGGTGGGCAGTTATATAAGACTAGAATTATAACTGTTTCATGGACGCATTGGGGTTATCAAAGCGGCAACGTACTACTCTAGTGCACCTTTCGAAAAGTTGTTTCAACCTCTGAAATGCTTCACCGCCCAGGCTTCTACTGGCCCTCGCGAGGTCAAGTTCCATGACTTCGATGAGCGCCCGAACCAGATGGCCGGTGCCCCGCGCACAGGCACCGCTGGCACAGCCCTTCTCGCACCCGCCGGAGGACCCCCTGCCCCAGATGCGACGCGTCTTGGTACAGCCACGGATGCTGCTAGTCTGTATTATTCGCAGATCATTGTTGAAGAAAGTTATAACCCAAGTTAGACTGCCATGACTGCTCGCTCTTGCGTGCTTTTGAATGACAAGTATTATGTGGACTTCAGTACAACCCCAAAAGGGCTATAAACTGTTAAATCCTGGATCAATCTTGCGCAATTACGCTGAACAAATTTTCGTACAAGCCCTATGAGTCCTTTACGTGTTCTTTTTTTGAATAACCCTTTTATATATACACTTATTGAAACCTTACATGTGCCCCTTTAGCTGTATAAGCAC